AAAAAAAAAAATCATACTTTAGTTTATGTCAGATTTTAACTATAACGTTTCATTGCAACTAGGGCTGTAAACGAGGCGAGCCGAGCCGAGCTCCAGCTTAAGGTGTTTGAGCTCGAGCTCGAGCTCAACTTGGCTCGTTAAGTATACGAGCCAAAATCGAGCTCGAGCTCGAGCCGATCTCGAACTTTAACGAGGCGAACTATAAAAAATTACATAAATTTCACTTTTCGAGCCTTATCGAGCCGAGCCGAGCTCAGCTCGTTAACCAAACGAGCTTTAAATGAGCTCGAGCTCGACTCGTTAAGGCTTCGTATCGAGCCGAACAGAGCCTTAACGAGCCGAGCCGAGCCAAACTCGTTTAATTTAACAACACTAATTGCTTATCTGTTAAAGAAGTATGGACACCTAATAGTTGAACAACCACCTTACTGTTAATATAAATCATTTAAGCAATATAACATGACCACTTTTAAAAATACTTACACTGCTTCCTGCTAGATGTTGTCTTCCTGATATTAGCTACACATTCACTCTAGCAAATCCCTTTCAGAAACATATTACTGAATGAAGTCCAGCTAACATAAATCATTGTACTTCTTACTTAAATCACACATAGTGAACTCATTTATTCAGTACCAATTTGAAAGTACACTCAGACTCGGTAACGCATAGTTCGCGTAACACATAGTTCGCGCATAGTTACTGCAAAAGGGAAAAACAAGTTTTCTTTATTCAGACAACATGAATGTTGCAACACTCATAGGCCACACCATAATCAAACACTCATCCAAGCACGTTTAACGATACTGGCTAGCAAGCTCTCCATCCTTGACAATGTAATTCTGCGGTGGAAAATCCTGGCCCTTGAAGTACCTATCCAGCATGTCCTTAGTTCCAGCCGCATAACGCAACTACAAAACACGGTTGAATATTTTTTTTCAACTGAACAAGCGAATAACATAACAGTACATTCTCTTTCTTTTCGCCGAGGTAAATAATATAAAGTTTTATTTATATACCTGTGCATCGATGGTTGTACCAGAGATATGTGGAGTCATAGCTTGGTTCGGCATGTAACGCCACGGGTGGTCCTTTGGGGCTGGCTGTGGGTACCAAACATCTCCACTGTAACCTATATTGTACAATTTTATCACACAAATCATTAGCATGGAACAGAAGTAATCAAATTTGTTATTTGGATTTCTTCAAAAAGTTCAGATTCGAGTTTGGGGTGTATTAGTTTGAGATTTTTGAAGACTTTTAAAAGTCTCAAAGTATTCATTTGAGATTTTAAAAAGTCGTACAAAATCTTGAGTTATTTAACTTATTTGAGACTAGGATATTTGTTCAGATTTGTTAGATTTCAAAAGAAAAAACCATAGATGAAATCTCTCACTTTCATACTTAAGATTTCATAGGATTCCTCCTAAATCCGAAGATATTAAAAGGCCTCAAATCTCAAAAAGCCTAAAAATGTCACTCGAAATCCAAGACGAACACACCACCCCAAATAATCGAACATCAACTGCTTGGTTATGCGAGCCCAGTCTATTTGATGAATTTTGATGACTTACCAGCAATATGCCCACTGGAACAAGCATCAACCACTGCTTGTGTGTCCATGATTGCTCCTCTAGCATTGTTCACAATCAGAACTCCCTTTTTCAGCTTAGCAATCCTTTCTTTGTCAAACATCCCTCTTAAAAAATCAAAAAAGAAAAAAAAAAGGCCACACGTCACGATAAGCCTCCAAATCAGACAACATTTTCACCGCTAAAATTCGAATATTCGCCCAAACTTACTTAGTTTTCTCAGTCAGAGGCGTGTTGATCACAATTATGTCACACATTGGAAGCATCTTATCAAGATCCTCCTCAAACCGGGCCCCGATCTGACCCTCTAGCTCAGCATCCATCTTTACGCGATCATGGTACAACAAGTTACAGTTGAAGGGCTTCAGCCTCTGAAGCAAAAGCCGGCCAATTCTCCCAGCTCCAACTGTGCCCACGGTCTTACCTTCGAGATCGTACGCCCGATAAGCAATGGCTGCCACATTCCAGTCACCGGATATGACCTGATGATGACCTGGCAAGAAATTGCGGACGAGTATAAGGATTCTCATGAGCTCGTCTTCAGCCACCGAGACGACATTGCTGCCGGTGACCTCTGCCACCGTGATTCCGGCGGCAGCTGCCGCCGGCAGGTCTATGTGGTCGGAGCCGATTCCAGCAGTCAGAAGAAGTTGCAGGTTTTTAGCCCTTTTGATGCGTTCGGCCGTCACGTAGGCTGGGTGGAAAGGGGTCGTTATCAGCACGTGGAGGTCGGGTATGTGTTTCTCGAGCTCTGCAAATGAGCAATTTTTCAAACCAGAAGCTCAAAAGATTACATTTAGGCTATGTTTGGTAAACCTAACTGATAAGCTAGTTTATAGATTCTCAGTAAATTTCAAGCTTATAGCCAATAGCTTATCACTCATGGCTGAAAAACTAACTTATATGATAAAAATGTTTAGTAAAATAAGCTGAAATAAAAAACTTCAATGGGCTTTTTTGAAAAGTTACCCAAGAACTTATGAAATAAGCTTGAGCTATACAGGAAGTTATAAGTTAACCAAATAAGCTATAAGGTAGCTTATATGCTTACCGAACACAGCCTTACAATCTAACAAGTACAAGAAAATGAATATGCCTTTTGAATGCTCCCACCAGTGTTAATTACATTCTACACAAGTATATATATACCACATAAAACGAGCATAATTATGGATCTCATTAGTGAATCTCATTCGACTGCAAACAATATTTCCACTATTAAACTTGTTCGGATACATAGTTTTGTTATATTTACAGAACAAGCACAAGAAAATGAATATGCCTTTTGAATGCTCCTACAATTGTTAACTTCATTCTAGACGAGTGTATATGCCTCATAAATACGTCATTGAAATTCTGCTCTGATTTCAACTATTACATCGTAGGTTTATGAGCATAGATTCATATTAGTTAATCTCGTTCTACTGCAAGCAGTTTTTCACTATTAAACTTGTTCGGATACATAGTAATATGTTATCTTATTCGTGTTAGTAAATCTAATTCGACTGCAAACAGATTTTCCTCCTCTCATTGGTTGAAGCATAATCTGTGTGCTAACAACATAACACATCCAGTTCTGTCAGCATCGGCAATACATATAACTCAAATCTTATGTATGTGTGCTCAATATTTAAATGCATATTTCGTATTATACTGGTGACGCTCTATAACGTTAATTTGTTTACCGGAATCTGGTCCATCTTTGTCTGGAGTAACAATGTACTTGTGTCCTTGAGATTCCAACCACTCGCGAATGCCTAATGCATTCTCGGCACAGCCTAGAAAGTTTGGATTCATCGAGGCATACTCGTTCGCCTTATAGAACACACCCACAATCTTCTTGCTGCCTGGTGCAGCCTATGTGTTCATGGATAAAACAAAATTATTACAAAGCATCAAGCCATGTCAATCATTACAGAAATGTACAAGGCTAGTTTGAGTTATCAAGATTTAACTACAAGTGTATATATAAGCACATTTAATCTATGTTACTCGGACTCTTCTACTTAGGAAGAATACCCATGTCATGTTGTGTCGACACTGGTGTGGGTATGAGTGTCGGGTGTGGCATTTTAGCCTAAAATGGTCAAGATTTCTAAACTATTGACGAGTTGGACACTCCTATCCCACACCCGATACGCCACCCATATCCGAGTCCAGGTAGCATAGCATTTAATCAGCTGTTTTTCATAACTTTGAGAACTAACTACACTCAAGGATCTGTTATAGATATCTAATTAATGTATAAATAATTAAATATACAATAATCTAATTCAGCTAATGCCTCTATGAACAAGAGATCTGGGCCCACTCAAGAGTGACGCATCATTGGCCAAATTGACCATAAAGCCGCCACGTGACAATAAGACAAAAGATGGTGCACAGACACTTTGCATGACCCGTGTTGAAATTGGTTTCTTTCCTTTCCGATGAACAACAATCGTTACACTCTATGCAATTTTTTTATTTTTTATTTTTTCCTTATGAGAAGTAATAATTGATTTATTGTTTCCACAAAAAAAAAGGGAAAAATAAACGAAAAACATCGTACAAAAGGAAATAAGTCAAATCACAGCTTAATCAGCAAAACTTGATCGGCCAATTCAAAACAAACGGGATAAAAATACGGATGTAAGCATAATTTTAACCATGGGAAAGCTGAATTTGGTATGCAAAATAGGAAATTCGTTTTTTTTTTCTCGTGGAAAAGTGAAGCTTACATGAAGGTGCCTGGCTTGTGAAGAAGTGCCCGAAGAAGTAATTGCACGAACTGCAGAGGCAGCAACACGCTTCATCGCCATCTTAACTTATGGAGCTCCGAAAGTAAGGAAAGAGATCTGGTGTAAAGAGAGAGGTATTGGAGAGAACCGTAGAGTCTCCACTCCACTCGTGTGCTGATCGAGAGAAATGCGGAGTGTAGATGAAACTCACGTTTGTAGCATTTATTTATGAGAAAGAAAAGGGGAGAAAAAGAAAAAAGAAAAATGTTTGGTTAAAGTTGAATTATTCCAACTACTAAGAAAAATATCTTCCTTGTTGGAGTATACTGTATATAGTTTTGATAATAAATGTAACTAGTACAACTAGTACAATTGTTAATTTTTTATTTAAAATTTAAAATTAATGTGAAAAAATAGTTGAAAATTTAAAACCTTTTATAAAAATATATATACTATTATATATTAAGTATGAAATTTTTTATTTGTGCGACTTACTTGTATTTTATTATAATAATTTTTTATAACTTACAAAATGTATCTACATTAAATATGAATATATCAATTAAGAAATAATTTTATTTTTCTAATGAATTTTAATAAATATTATTATTATTTTTATTATAAAGATAAATATAATTTATTTATTTAATATATACAATATGGATGTCAAATCGAACATCATCAAAAGGTGATTAATTTGATATATTATATATGTAAAACCGATAAGAAATACAAAAGTTTAAAATTCATTTACAATTCAATAGCTAATTGAAGGAAACAAATCAAAAGTCAGGGATATATTAGTCACTTAGTGCCTCACTATGTAAAATTACAAGGAATTAAAGGGTTATATTAGTACAAGTGATATTAAAATACCTAAGTTAACTAAATAATATTTATAAAATATCTTAACCTAAATTATTAATTATTATTATATCAATATTATTTGTCCAAACCTAATTACGAAGCATGATTATTTGCCAAGTAGGATTCTGAAGCACCAGAAGCAGCCACGTAGGCTCAGCGCATTCGAGAATCTATCTATCTATATCTATATATATATAAAGAGGGAGTTGATGGAATTTATTGCTAAATATAGATGATATGCAATGACTATAATTGGCAACATTTCTACATTTGGTTGGGTA